AGAGATGAAAGTGGAAGAAATCCAAGAGTGGGAAGCATTTTCTTGCTTCAGTCAAGACACCTTGATTAAAACATACTGTGAAAGCCATTTCAAGGCATGAGCCAACTTTGCTCAATCAGTCATTGCTGACCTATCCAACCTCTGATACTGCAGACACCGTTATTCTGGAAGCCAACTGTCTGCTGAGATAATTTAACAGCTGTAGTGCTTCCAGGTGACTGGTTACAGCTTAAAACATCGAGATTTACTTGTGCATTTGGCCTGATAGGAGAACTGCTAATTGGCAGAACCTAAAAGGTTCTTGATTTAAATATGGAAAGCTACAAAGAATTGTCAGAAGTGATCAAGAAAATCAACTAGACAGACAGGATCACAGTCCCATGTAGAAAAGGCAAATGATTTTCTCAAGTCAGAGGTCATCAATCTATGCATCTACTCTGTCATGGGTCTTGATATACATCATGCAACTTTTGTTGATCTGCATATTTTGAGTTTCATTCCATAAGTGATATGCCTCAGGTACTGCAGCAGAATGCTCTGCCTAGAGTGGTGGCAAGCCAGCTTGAACAATACCCTGTTTGCAAAAGTCATGAGTGATGAGTGGAAGTGGGAGAGGGGGGCAAGGGGTGGCACACAATTTTTGATACTGAAGAATGCTGAAACCAGCCTGACTCAGCAATGTTTCCTGACAAACTGGCAATGGTGAGACAAAGTACTTGATAAAGGAACCACTGATATTACTGATAATTTATCTAAAGCTGCTGAGGTGACACAGCTGGCCTGGAGATGTATGAGTGATTGTTAATCGCTTTATCCTATAAAAGCTGAGTCCCACTTTTAAATGCTAGGATCTTCTAACATATCCTTTCTTAGAGTGTGTGTGAAGATTCCTCCCTTGAGTGGGAACACCCCTCAAGGCTGCTCTTCTAGGCTGCACAAGAGATATTTCCAGAGTCATTGATATAGGTGAGGAACATCAATATCTACTTAATAATTATTTTGCTAACTTTATTATAACTGCTTCAATATTGCTTCAATAAATAGTGCACTATACTAGTACTGATAGCCAAAGTGGGTAGTCAGTAATTCTGATTAAGATCTTTTAGACTAATCATAATCATTATAATCATTATAATATCAAATTTAAATAAATATTTATTTCTATAAATGTAATTAGTTTGCTATCCTTAATCCTGCAGGACAAAGTCTTATAAGGGCTCAATTACATCTATATGATCCTTTAGATTTAAAGTGTTGACTAAGTCTGGGGCTAGAACTGGATCCAGCTGAACTAAGGCTCCTCTCTGAGAAGAAGTTTAGTGTGGGTCCTTTATGTACCTCATGAATCAATGGAAGCTGATAAAGCTTGTCCAAAACTTCCATTCTGCCTGTGACAGCTAGCCTGTCAGTCACAGCAGTACAACTGTATATATAACTTAGCTCCAGTTCTGGGTTACACATATGACTCGCTCCTTGATATGTTATTTCAAGACATAATGATAACAGATAATTAAGCTTCCTGTCTCCAAGCCTGCAAAGTTTTTCTTTTAGTCACTGCCCTTTGCAATATTCAATGAACTCCTCGGATTCTGCCTGCCTGTTTGCAAGTGAAAACAGGATTGTTGTTAAGCAAATTATCTCATATAGGTTATTGAAGGAACAGTCCACCAGGATGGAAAGGAATTGTTTAGAAAACGATAGTGGTATAGAAACAAAGGTATAAAGTGGCTGTGTGGTAAATGTACTGTAAAGATTAGGCTTCTTGAGTGTTTCTGAGTAGAGAGGCTCAGAAGAAGCTTTTCAGTGAAAGTGGTAAAGTGAAACATTTATAGCTAGAGCTCAGTAAGTTTGTGAATGGGATTTTATGACCTGAGTCTTGTGACATGAGGGTCCTGGGCATGGTAATAATGAGACCTCCTCCAATTCTGTGGATCACAGGAATCCTTTTTAACACAACCTGAGATTTATACCTGTGAGGACAACACTTTCCTTGGGTTGTAACTTCTGAGATGTTATTTCCCACCATTAAGCATTGGCTGTATTAATTTTCTTTCAACTCTTTTTAATAAACAAGCTGCAGTTATCCACTACTGAGCTCCTACTCAGACACTGTTATTGCTTAGGCCTATAAACCAAAAAAAAAAAATCTGTGTTAATAAAAAGGTTTTGCCCTTGGAGACTGGCCAGACACTTGTTCAGATCTGGGGTTTTCCTAGGAGAACAAGAACATGTGAATGCTTCAATGTATGTTGAAATCTTACTTCTCATGAAAAACAGTTCTAATCCTGCAGAGTCATGAAGTAAATGCTCTAGTAAAGGGGCCTGTTGCTGGTTCAGAAACCAGAAGCCTCACAGCAGGAGGAAAAATTAAAATAAAAAATAAGGATAAGGTAAACTGTTCTTTAGCTCTGTGTGGTGACCACTGTGAACAAATCATTTCCATGTGTAGGTAGATGCTCAGGCTTGCTGCACACCAGCCTTTTGCTTCACTGCTGTCTGACAGTGGGAGTACTCATACAGAGTACAGGTTATTAGTTACCGCCTTGCCCCTGGCTCTGATTCTGCAGGCATTGACCAGCTGATGTGTGTGTGCATGCAGTTTGCAAGCACATGGTATGGCTTTTTGTAGAACTGGGCTTTGTGCCATTAAGATACACTCTGTGAACACCAGCTCCAAAAGCAATTGTGCTAGCCAATCTGTGGGGGCAAAAGTGACACAAACTGGTTTAAATGCCTCCTTCTGCCTACGAACATCCCTGAAAGTTTTTAAATTGTTAATTACATCCAAAAAGCCACAGGGAGATAAGGGAAACAAAACCAGAATGAGCTAGGGAAACTGGCTTGTATTTTCAGTGTAATTATTTGAATTTTTCCACTTCAGTAGATTTAAGGCAAATTATTATTTTTACTACTGTTTTAATAGGATACACTGCCTCCTAAAAATTCACTTTTCTTTAGGAAAAGAGAGGTTCTTCTTCTGGCTTTTGATAGGGGCTTATGATAGGCTGAGACAACAGGATAAAGTTGTGCTTGTTTTCCTCCAAAACCTGGTAACTGTAGATCTCAGTGCTGCAAGCTGCATTATATAAGCAGTTTTGACATATTTACAGAACCACTCTGAAGTACAGCAGACTATACTACAGCAAATATACTTGAATGCAGGGAAGTACTTAACTGCTTTCATGAAGTGTTTGTCCAAACAGCTGGCCATACACTCCAGCATCACAGCACTATGCTTATTTGAACTTATACCTTGGGAAAAGGCTGCAGGTAAAAGCAGCAGCAAAATAGCTGACTATGTTCCTGAAAAAGAGAAAGTAACTACATTGAAAACCCAGATGGCTGTTTTCTGAAGGAATAAGGTAATCTATTCTGGCCCTGTTTTCTATCCTGGGTGTGAGTTCACATAAGAAGACTCAAGAAAGGAATTACTTTTTTGTAATGAATCTTAGTATTTGTCATTTGATCTATTTCTCAAGAAGCAGAGAATTTCCTGAGAAAGCAACTCAAATTAGTTTGTAAGCTAGTGAAGCATCAACACAGTCTCCTATTTGAGAATGCCAAAAGGTTTTCCAAATGTACTGATAGAGAAGGCAAACATGTACCTTAATAAAAGCAGACTGAAGGACATCAAAGGAACAAAAGTCACATCTCTGAAGTTTCACTACAATCCTCATACAACTAGTTTTACTATCCTTGCAAGGTAAACTATTAGCGAGCTGCAAGACCAGGGCTGCCCCATGAGGGGCTATGAACTAGGAGCAGAGGGTAACCTCGTCACCATGTCCTCCCCATTAGGGCTCAATCCGAGGGTGCTTAAGCAGGACCAGGATTGGTGATGTAATCTCTCAATTTGCCAGTCAAGGTGATGAGTCAGGCCCAAGACCCAGCTAGGGGATCCAGTTAGGCATAGGCTTGGGGACAGGAAAATCTACAGCATGGGCCCATGGTCCAGTGAGGAAAAATAGCAAGTCAGGATGACAAGGGACAGGGCTGAGCACAAACCTACCTACAGCTCAGCTCAAGCAAGGCTTGGGTGAGGTACTGGACCCTTGGGCAGAGGGTGTGTTGGTGAAGTCACCAATACAGCTTGCCAGGGTAGCTAAAGCTCTCTGTTATGTGTAGCTCCCTGACAATGAGGAGTCTGTTGCCTTCTGCAGAACATCCTGTGTTCAGTATTACTAGTTTTAATAGCACTCATCTTTGCACTAGAGTAGGATGTCTCTTATGACTCCTATTCTTAGAGCAGCCACTCCTGTAGTACGTTCCTTCTGCTTTAACAGTAGTATTTAACCACAGCCCTGCACATAGCTATTTTTTTATATTAAAGAGTTTGGGGTTTTTTTGCAACAGGGAAGCACAGACACTCAAATGTATTTATTCATACTCAAATATAATTGTTAACAAAAATTAAAAGTCAATTAACTTCCAGTTGCTCTTCATTGAAGAGCAAGACAAATTTTTTTCCATAGGAAAGAACAGTCTGAGCTCCCAGCAGAGATTTGGAAAACTCTGAGCAGAAGTACAGCTGACTTGGTCCCTGTACCCAATTATATAAACTGTTCTTCCATAAAGCATTAATCCAGAAACAGAAGTTGTCCCAGCTTCTCTTACAGCTAAGCTCTGCTGAGCTGACCACAATGCTGCCGACAGATCTTATCTCAAGTTAGGAGGAATGCTTACATGCTTTAATGACCTATTCTCTTTTCTTTTTTTCAAAACAAACTTGCTTAAATCTAAGGAGATGTCATTTGACATCTGCTTCCAACAGATACATAGCATGACTTTGCAATTGTGCTGTTTCTCACAAGTCAGCAGACCAGAAGACCTGTAGGGCTGATAATTCAACAGCAAGTGCTAGAGATTTTCCTTGCAGTAGTTCTGCCTTTATTGAACAATCATGCTCAGGCAAGGCCTTTTAATTTAAAAATAGTGTTATACAAGGCATCATGGTATGGAGCCAAGTGATTTTCATTTGAATAAATCATCAGCTCAGGTACTACAGAAAGAACTATTACCAAGCAGGGTAATGAAGGATTATAAACAAGATGTTGTAATAAGATATCACCATCTGCAGGAAAAAAAAACCTCTAGAAAACAAAAAACAACCCATGGCAAAATGCAAGAACAATGCAGGTACTATTAAAAAAAAAGATGGTAACTACAATACTTCCCTGCACCATCCCCCCCATCCCATTAGGGAATGATTGCTAAAAATCTGAAACAAGTTTTACTAAGTAGCCCTGAGCATATGAAAACAGTTTCACAGAGAAGCAAATTGTGCTGATATTCAGTTATTTAACTGCTGTCCCGGCATACTGTGAGTCTCAGAACACAACAGGATTTCAATGGGGATCTTGAAGCAGGAATTTGATAGCAAATCAGTAAATGTTTCTTTGTATGGTAGACTAATGGTTTTCAGTTTTATTTGCTGTCCGGTTCCTTTCCACTCCCCCTACCCTTCTCTGCATATTTCATATTTCAAATTTCTCTTGAGCAGTATGTGCCAACAGCCACGGAAAAAGAACAAAAATTAAATGACAACACATTTGTTAACATTTTTACCTATATAACTACTACTAGCTGAGTCAGAGTACCACTGTGCAAGACAAACTTGAGATCTAGCTCTGGTGTTCTTACATTTTTAATGATACCCAGCCCTTGTCAAACAGGCATAACAGAGGTACATTTGATTACTACTGACAGGAGGGAAGCTTGTATTTTACATGTTATTTACATGTTGAAACACCAAATTGCCATTTGTTTCCACCTGGTTTGTTAATATTGAAATTACGATGTCCTGTTCTTGCTGCAAAATCCTGTATTTCTGCACCTCTTTTATTCTACCGGCAGAAGCTGAGTTTTCAGCTCCTTAGTTCAGATATTCATGTCACATTTAGAAATTTCTCTTGAGACCTTTAAAACACAGCATAGGACTCTGCCTTTTACACAGGAATTTTAGTTTGCTCCCTCAGCAAGAGATATGTTATTTTGGAATCCAGTTCTTAGTAGGAATAGAAGGAAGGAGGGATGAAACCTCAATATTTCAAGGTCTCTATAAAAAGTCTCTCAAGTCCAAGTATGCCACATGACTCAAGAAAATCCCTTCTTTTAAATTTAGCTTTTCTCCAGAACTTGCTGAGCAATGGCATACCCAGTTTTCCCATGTTTACATACAGCTAAATCCTAAGGGGTGCTGAGCTATCACAAGTTTCTATGTTCAACGGAAGCTGCAAAACTGAAGAGTTGTAAGGACTAGATCTATACGCTTAATTTTTCTACTGACTTCAGTTATGCATGTGTTGTGCTTGCTTACAAGACTTGAAAGCTGGTAATTTATTCCAGCTGATATAGCAAGGTCTCAAGGGCAGTTTTGCCTGTGTGCCTTCCCATAAGCTCTCCAATGTCTGTCAGAGGAACTAAACAGAAAATAAAATTTTGCAAGTCCACCAATAAAAAATTAATTTGTGATTGGTGAGTTGCTAAGGTTCCTTTTTTAAAATGTCAACAGAGGTTAATTAAAATTTATTTATACAAGGTTTTGAGATAAAATGGACACTTCATCAAAGAACAAAAACACGGCATTTTGAAAAGTGTTGCCTGAGTAAAAGCTGAAGGAGGATCATTGGACACTGTGATTGAAGGATTAAAGTTTTGCCTCATTTAACATTAGGACTGCTTGTGGACTAATGTATTATGAATCCCAAATGGAGGTGATACAGAAATGATAGTGATTTTGATTCTAGGCATTATGATTTTTAATCATAGAATCAAAGAATCAATTGGGTTGGAAAAGACCTCTGAGATACTCAAGTGCAACACTTGATCCAACATCACTGTGGTTACTAGACCATGGCACTAAGTGCCACATCCAGTCTCATCTTAAAAACCTCCAGGGACAGTGGGCAGCCCATTCCAATGTCTGATTACTTTCTCTGTAAAAAATTTCTTCCTAATATCCAACCTAAATCTCCCCTGGCAGAGCTTAAGACCGGGCCCTCTTGTCCTACTGCTGTTGCCTGGGAGAAGAGACCAACCCCCACCTGGCTACAACCTCCTTTCAGGGAGTTGTAGAGAGTGATGAGGTCTCCCCTGAGCCTCCTCTTCTGCAGGCTAAACAACCCCAGCTCCCTCAGCCTCTCCTCATAGGACTTGTGCTCAAGTCCCTTCACCAGCCTTGTTGCTCTTCTCTGGACCTGCTCCAGCACCTCAATATCCTTCCTGAACTGAGGGGCCCAGAACTGGACACAGTACTCCAGGTGTGGCCTCACCAGTGCTGAGTACAGGGGAAGGATCACTCCCCTGCTCCTGCTGGCCACACTGTTCCTGATCCAGGCCAGGATGCCATTGGCCTTCTTGGCCACCTGGGCACACTGCTGGCTCATGTTCAGCTTCTCATCAGTCCAAATTCCCAGGTCCCTTTCTGCCTGGCTGCTCTCCAGCCACTCTGTCCACAGCCTGTAGCACTGCAGGGGGTTGTTGTGGCCAAAGGGCAGAACCCGGCACTTGGCCTTGTTGAATCTCATCCCGTTGGAATCAGATCATCTCTCCAGCTTGTCCAGGTCCCTCTGAAGAGCCCTCCTGCCTTCCAGCAGATCAATACTCCTCCCCAACTTGGTGTCATCTGCAAATTTGCTAATGGTACACTCTTATCCCCTCATCTAAATCATCAATAAAGATATTAAATAGAACTAGGCCCAACACCAGGCTAACTGGATGCAGAACCATTCCCCACTACTCTCTGGGCCCAGCCCTCCAGCCAGTTCCTAACCCAGCAGAGAGTGCCCTTGTCCAAGCTGTGGGCTGCCAGCTTTTTCAGGGGTATGCTGTGGGAGATGGTGCCAAAGGCTTTGCTGAAGTCCAGATAGACCACATCCACAGCCTTCCCACTCTTCAAGTAACAATTATACTGGCTGATGAACTCATTTTGGAAAAAATCATAAAATGGTGAGAAAACATGTGTCTGCACCTTAACAACCTATTCAAGAAGTGGACACACTGACTTTATCCTATTTTTGATAGAATAAACTAATAGGTTTATTCAGTACCTATCCAAATGCAAGCTTCACTGGATAATTCCTAGGTCTTATAATGGAAGGGACAGTGAACACCTTATTCATACCATCTAGTCTGATAGATTTCGCACTGTTGCACCCTCATCTCTTCCTTCTGTGTCTGCCACCAAACACAAACTGCACTCATACAAGTGCATGGACGCAGAGGTGGCCTGATTCAGTTCCTCTTTTCTTGTTGATCAGTCTTGAATAGTGGAACATAGGCACGCTCTGACTCATGTATCTTAAAGATACATTCACATTTGCAGTCCTTTTCAGGTCATGTACAATAACTTTTCACATCCTTGTACACAAATTTAACCCTTGGTCAGATCCTACTCAGCAACCTGCAATCCTGAGGCTTTTGATCATTCTTGTTGCCCTTTGTGCCTTTTTGATGCGAAAGGGTGAGAACAGCCCACCATGTTCAAGTGACAAGAACACTTCGAACTTACTAATAAATTAATGTTCTTCTTATTATCAGTAAAGTAATATTGAGTTGGCATTTGTTATGGCATAACATCAATGATTAAAGAAGTATTTAAGAGTTGATATTGTAGCTGTGGTTTCGGAGTGCATTAAAAGCATGCTTCATTAATTTTTAGTGTGTGAATAAGAACCTCTTATCTGTATAGTATGGAAACTAAAAGTATAACTGAAACTGATGTGGGTCACTGAGGCAATTAAGCATGTGCTTGCTAAACCAGAGCCTTCTGACTAAACATCTTCCTGCGTCTGTCCTCTATAATGTATGTGCATTTCCCATCACAGAGATTATTTCAGTATATGCAGCATTGGCCAGCAATTTTCATAGACCTACATAAGTAAACCAGAAAAATAACTCTTAATATGGAAGTGTAGTATTCTTAATAAAATCTAGTAATTATTCTTAATGAGACTGTAAGACAGTCACTCTCAGACCTGTTTCCCAGGATTGTTTAAGAATGTTTGGTGCTATCTTTCATCATATCATTCCAAAAAGATGAGTAATGGAAACATTTCTGCCACAGCATGTCCTTATTTATTTACTATAAGTATTAAGCCAAGTCATAAAACAGTATCCAAGCTGAACAACTGACATCCAATGACACATAGCATGCTTACCAAAACAAGTAAGCCTTGGTGTACAGAAATGTATCTTGTTCTGTCAGCATTCCAACCTGTTTTGTTCCACTCAGTAGTTTTGTGGCTGTAATCTACAAAAGCTGAAATACTTTTCTTTTTCTTATTAATGGAACACAAGAGCTTTGATTACATTTAGGAAAATGTCTATTTAACTCTCTCAAGGAACTGCTGAAAAGTTGGCATGGTTCAGTGGCTGAAAAACTGTGACTATTGCAGTGTAGCCTAAAAGCAGAAGTTCATACAGCATTTCCCCTTTTATTTTGCTGTTTTGATGCTATCTAATTTAAATCTCCTGAAGAACAAGCTCTATAGCTCCACATAGTGTTTACTTACAAACATCAAACCTCTGAACAGGCCACAGAATACCTAGATATTTTTCTAAATGTGGATAAAGTCAACCAACTTTCTATAATTTTTCAAATGCATTCTTATTTAATGGGTTTATTTTTCTGTTAGGTTATTCAATATTTGTGAGGTCCATCTAAGAATATAACTGACAGTATTCATACCTTTTTTTGTATGTATATTAGCAGCTAGTCCTGACATTGCATCTTTTGCCCCTTCAGCTCAATAAGTACAAGCTTCTGGTTGACAAAAAAAGTTCAAATCTGTCTCTTTAAATAATTTACACACATAACAGTAAGAGCTTAGTAAGATTTTAACAACAAAGACTTTGATGACATCCCAGAGACCACAAAGATGTCACTCTATGGTCTCAGATTAGAAGACAGAACTCTTGGCATATAACTGTTCTCATATTTCTGAGCCTCATAATTGGAAAACATATTTTCTTTGGTGTGCAGGGCACAGACATGAATGACAGCAATTTACTCATAAATACAGTAATGAAAAGGCTCTACTTTATTGTGATGTTACCATTTAATCAATGATGATTTGGGATGAGCAATTGATTTCCATGTAATTTACCAAGACAGAAATTATTTCCAAGTTCTGTCCTGCGACTAGAAGGTATTTTTAATCCGCAACATACAGATCATTAACAAATAGGTAAAAAAAGGCAGAATTTGAAAATAATTTCTTTAACATTGGACTTCAACAGGAAACAGCTCAAAATATGATGCCTCCTCTGACAGTGACAGTTTCAACTGCACTTTCAACTGTATTTTAGGGATGTTTGGATGGCTCTGACTCAGTAACAGCTTGGCTGATTGTGACACAAGGCCCTTAAAAAAAGCTGATTTTTTTTTTTTCAGTGTAGTCACTGATCACAAAGGACGGAAAGCTGAATTGATCACCTATTTCTTTCAGACACAGCCAGGTCAGTACAGTGTCATGGTTTGAGATTCTCCAAAATCCTAATTCCCTAGTCCTAGCCCCCTTCCCCATCTCAACCTAAGTTCCGAGGGGGAAGAGAGATGGGAACTTGAATTCCTGTTGCCCAGGACACTGTATGGTTGTAACACACAAACTGATACGAAATAAGCTCTTGAAACAAGTGGGTAATTTCTGTAGCACTTAGTGGATGATCACTTACAGCACTCTGTGTTTTTTTCCAAGAAGCTTGGGAACAAAATTCCAAAGTTCAGATGGTACTCTGCTAGCAAAATACATAAAAAGAACCAGCTCAACCAGTATAAACACATAATCCAAACAGAGCAGAGTTGCTACAGCTTTCTCTGCTTACCAAATAAAAGCCTGCAGAGGGCACTGCTAAACGCTATCACTATCTTAACACATTGTCAGAGGTTATTTAATATGCATCTCAGTCCAAACAAGTGTCTACAACGAAAAGACACAAAAGACAACATAAGGTTAATATCCACTATTATAAGAAAACTGCAGTGTTTTCTTCTTTGATTTTACTTTGTTCCCTATATCTGCTGAAGAAGATACTTGAAAACGTGTTTTGCATCTTGCCACCTGTAAGAAAGGACCCTGCTTCTTGGATAAAGACTGTAGTTCCGTGCTGCAGATGATGTTCAACAGCCTACCAGACCAGACTCCTGTCTCCAACATCTATGTTGTCCTTTACTGTTCATCTTCAGACTGAAAACATTCAAATTCAACGGAGGAGTTAACACTGTATAACACAAGTGTTAAGGATAACATGTACGGTTATAGTATGTACAGCAATATAATTCAAGTGTGCTTTTGTTAGTTTCAGATTATATACTAAAGTAGAAGTTCACAAAATTCCAGAAACACCTAATAAAACAAATACTTTAAGTGCATAACATATGATAAGTCTAGGTCACCCTACCTACCAATGCTTCCATACACAAGAGCTCCTATCTCTTCAAGTCTTTTGTCCGCAACTCCCATATCCATCTAATATACTCTAATTGTACCATGTACCCTGTACTTTACATAGGTTGTGTTACTTGGTAAAAATGTGCAGTCATCACCCCAAAAACGCTTCATTAATTTTCTTCCACATAAGGCAGCTCACACGGTTCTTTGGTCAGTTTGTTCACCGTGAATAAAGAATGTTTTTCCAGCACTGGTTTATACTGAAAATTATGTTAGAAAATGCATACCAGAGTCAGTTAGCTCCTTCTACAATGCTTTTTTTCTGCTTGGAAAGCCATAAGAATAAACTTGTTTCCTAAAGCCAAGACATTAAAAATGATCGGTGATTCTGGATGTTTCAGTTCCTAGTATCAGATATCAAAGACCGTCAAGGAATGCAGTTCTCCAGACATATTCAGAAACCACAATGGCTTTTGGCAAAGTAATTGTGTGCACAAAGCAAATACCTCAGTGGTAAGGTATTCATGAAACTACAAGCATATTCACCACTCAGTGAAACCCAAATAATAAAGTCTGAAAGGACAGACTGAATTTCTAAGGATATTTTCACTGATGTAGAGGATGTTTTTAAAAACCACCCTACCGAACTCATAAGCAGTTATGAAAACCAAACTGAAGTCCTCGGGGCTGTATAATCCCAAGAACTCAGATCTTCTGCAAATGTTGTGCTAACTATGTTAAATCTGATAGATCATGGCTTTGGAACATATCTTTATTGACATTGACAATGATTAATCCACTAAATGATACAGGTGCTTTCAGAATTGTGAAATATTTTTTCCCTTTTTATCTGGCTTTATATATTAGTATGGCTGTTAATGCATGGAAAGATCTCTGCTGTGATTTCCCTTTCTATTTTCTCAGAGATAAGCAAACAAAACAAAGTATTTTGGGCCCAAATTTATTTGATTTCTAATCTACCTAAACCGCAACTGCAACTTTATTGTAGTATGTGTATCCACACATACTTTCAAATTCACTAGTAAATTTACTTGCAAATTTCAGGTTTAAGTTCTTGAACACCTGGGAAAAGCCACTTTTGAATAGTAGATACTTTTCAAAAATTTAGAATGAAAAGGTGTCAGTTGTTTGGTTCATTCACTGAAAAAAAAAACCCTAGAAACATTATTGCAAAACACTACTGAAAAACGTAGGAAACTGGGTTCTAACAGTACTGAATTATACTGCTGGTTAGTTATAGATATGGTTCTGTGAGAAACTAAAACAGTACTGCATGACTTCTGTCAAATGGCCAATAGACTATAAAATGGATGGTGAGTATTTACATGTTATTAGAGAATTATCTGAAATCAGTAATTATTAATTGCACTGCCTTATAAGTTATCAAATGGTGAATAATGTTGCCAAATAAATTCGTGACCCCTTGTGAGTGAATGGTTCCTAGAAAAATCAGGTGGAATTTATCTTTAGCTTTTTACTGTATTTAAATGTAGCTGGGTATACAAAATAATTTTTAAAAATCAACAGAAATATAAAAAATTAGGATTAAGAACTGTACTGTACTCTATTCCAGAATTATTGTTTTTGTCCCAGTACTTCAGGTCATCTACTGTATCTAAGCACAAATTGCTGAGTTCGAATTTGCAGTACCAATAGAATAAACTGCTCTTCTCCTTCTTCCTAAACAGTCTCTTTCACAGGAGTACTCCTTCTACTCCTTCCATCTCACTTGGCTGAATTCAGAAAATGTTTGAAAAAATCAGAGTGACTTTTCTCTATTAATTGCAGCTGACTAGTCTTGGTATTTAACCCATTGTTTTGGTTTTTTTATTTTTATTTTTTAAAAACATAAGATTTTCCTATTGTGTTATAAGGAATCATTTCCCTTTTATTGGGTTCTTTTTTTAAATTTCTAATATTATTATTTCGATACTGGTTTACATTTCATCTTTAAGGATGCTAACAAATATTATAATTCACCCTCTGAGATAACCTCTGTAGGTCGTCTGTGGGAAACTGAGTTGAGTATTTGCCTACCTTGTCCTGTTTATATGGAACTGTTCTCAGTGTAAAAGTCCATTTTGGTGGGTCAAAGGATGACTAAAATGATAAAATGTGCAGTTTAAATAACAGACTAATGCAATCTTCACACTTCATCAGCAAAAATCTGCAAGGTAAAGGACACATTTGCTCCAGGACCAGTTTCAAGAAATGAAGATAACTTAATAAAGACTTTTTAATGCACAAAACACATATGCTTACGAACTGTCACACCCCTTCTGGGTTTATATGACACCATGCCTGCGTCTGTAAGCAGCATGGCAAAAACTTCATGACACTAACCACGGCCATGCCTCACTAACAGTCTTTCTGTCAGTTTTTTGTTTGTTGGTTTTTTTTTTTTTTTACTTTGAGCTATGTTGCTGGTAGTGACAATAGTGGGGGGAGAGGTCATTGTTTTTTTTAAATTTAACATGCAAGGACTGATCCTCTGTCATTGCTCATGGAACAGCTGCAGATATAACATTACATGAGAAGTAGCTGCAGAATCTAAATGACAGCTCATGGCAATAGCTGCACATCAACACTAGGACTCTTAACAGTGGCAACTACACAGAATAGCTACTCTCATCCAACATTTTCATTCTCAATCTACTTTTGCCACCAGCAGTGTCTCCTCCTTCCTTTCACCAGCCTGGTAACATCAGGACTTATGTATTTAGGTTTATGATATTTCAATGTCCCTGGATGTTCCCACAGCTCTGCATGAGCTCCTCCTTTCCAGGACACAGCTATCTCAAGAGCACAGTTTCCAAAACAACACGACTGTCACTAAACAGGCAGCTGCAAGCAAGTCTTATCTTCAACTAGGTGAACTTGATGACAACTGACAAGTGGACCTTTGTGCATAAAGGGCTTTCACAATTCTCTTGAGCTTTGTTATCACAGTCTTGCTGCTATATCCTGTAATTGTGCCTCGGTAGCCACTGCCAGATCTGTTCAAGAAATTCTCTGAGCTTGGTCCACTGCACGCATTCTATTTCTACACAACTTTTGTGTCTCAAGGTATTATGAGTTACATTCCCATACCACAACACTGAGAAATATGCTTTTGTAGTCAAGTACAAACAGCCTATTATTAGAAAAAGTCTATTATTACCACATTACCATTCTAGGCATATATTTTTGATTTAGCCTACAAAAATGTATAAAAAATATCACACAGTTTAGATTGCATTCGTATTATTGATGTGTGGGTTTCGATAGTCATACTTTTAATGACACGCTGCTACCATCATTATTTTTGATTTCAAATATGTGCCTCATGCCTTTCCACGGAGAAAAGAACAGCAATCCAAAACTTACAAGGGCTCCAGCCTCCACTTTTACAACAAAATTCTACAATCCAGTCGCTATTAAGAGCGGTACTTGTTTCCCTCATTAACGCTGCTCCCAGCACACAACTTGGCATTGATCTGCATGCACCAACAACATGACTTGAACGAACATATTAGGATGCAGCAGCATTAACTAAGGAAGATACAAAGTATGAAAGGCATGCAGGTCCCTTATTAATTCTTTCATGGATTTTCTTTGACAAACTTTTCTGTACTTTCATGAAGTAAGATGAAATGCAATTAATCCAAAAGAAGGATGATTCTGAAGTTGTAAATATTCTTCAGGATGTATTTTGTGCCATTTATTTCATAATCTGAGGAATAGAGGGGGAATCAATAAATGAAATGATGCCACACTTCTAATATAATTTCCATTTCCTAATTTAGCAGGCTAGCTGTCAAAAAGCATTCAGGGAAGAGACTATAGCAAGGAGGATTAGTTGAAGAAGAAGTATTAGTTGGCACATATCTGAGAGCGGGGAATTTGATGGTAGGGCATTTTCAAGTTGCCCAGTTAAAAGCATAAGGTATGAAATATCTTGGTGTTTTGTTCCTTTACTATATTTTTTCCAAGGTCTATTATGGTTTTGTCTGGATTCTAACAGATATGGATATAGATTCTAATAGATACAGATTCTCTTTTTGTGTTCAGATAAAAATATTTCAGCTGGGACACAGTATTCATATGGTAAGAACAATATATTACCAGAAAGCTGTTAGGACACAGCAGGCCTTAGGAGTGGGGACAGGCCGTGTTCTTTGAAGGGCACTGGATAATTTGCATGCAGTGAGACCTCTCTATAGATAGCTCAGTCTGGAGGAACTCCTCTAACAGGCAGTGCCAGGAGACTGGTTCACAAAACTTTTCTGCTTATTTCTAGCAATAGCTATTTCTTTGTAACACAAGCACTGCCCTTGCAACAGTGTAGAGATCTTACCTTTAGTTCTCTTTCATTTCTTTTTATTTGCCAAGAGAGATACCAACTAGCCTCATTCACTACCTCTAAAGCTGTAGCTTTAGTTTCTATTTCTACTTGTCATCCTTCACACCACATGCTCCTACTCTCTCCGTAACGTGCAAATAAAAGCATGTGGGCAATCATGGAAACAAGATTAAGTAACAGGCCTTGGATAAAAATAACCCAGTGTAGAACACTGATCCAAGTCATCACTTGGAAGAAACGTCTGTGCCTGCCCCTGGCAGACGCCTAACGCCAGGTACACACACTGCATGAGCAACCGTGCCCTGTGCTCACCCTGCCCCCGACACAGCTCACCCCACACAGAATTCATCGTAGAGGCACGGAATGGCATGGGTTGGAAAGGACCTTACAGATCATCTCGTTTCAATCCCCCTGCCATGAGCAGAGACACCTTCCACTAGACTAGGCTGGTCAGAGCCCCATCCAGCATGGCCTTGAACACTTCCAGGGATGCAGATCCACAACTTCTCTGGGCAGCCCGCGCTTCACCACCCTCACAGCAGAGAACTTCCTCCTCTATAGCTACTCTGAACCTGTTCTCTCCTGGAATCTATTCCCCTTGTCCTGTCACCCCCCGCTCCGCTTCCCTCTCCCGTCCGCTTCCGTCTCCCCAGGCTCCCCTTCCCTGTACACCAACTCCCCTTTCCCCCCGCACCTGTTCCTTCCGCTCTTTTTCCCCTCTCTCCTCTCTCCCCACTCCTTTTCCGTCTGCCCCCTCTCCCTTTTCTCTCGCTTCAGCCCAGTTCCCCGTTTCCCCTGCCCCTGCCCCTGCCCCTGCCCCTGCCCCTGCCCCTGCCCCTCCTGCGCACGCGCTCCCCGTGCCCCCGACGCCGGGCGCGCCTTTTCCGCCCGGAGCAGTGACGCGCACGCCTCTGGCGTCACTTCCGCGCGGCGCGGCGCTGCCCCGCCCCGGCCCCGCCCGCCCCGCGCCGCCGCTCGGGGCCTGGAACAGGGGAACGGGGGGGAGGAGCGGCAAGAGGAAGAGGAAGAGGAGGAGGGGGAGCGGTAGGACATGGCGGCGGGGCTCTCGGCGACGACACCGACCCGGAGCGCGGGCGGGCGAGGCACCCGTGGGAGGGCGGAGTCGCCGCTGCCGCCGCCGCAGCGCCGCGGCGCCCGCTCGGAGCAGTGACCGACCGGCCCTGCCCCCCCGCGCCGCCTCCCGCGGGCCCGCCCGGCCCTCGCGCCAACCCGCACTCACCCCCGCCCCGGCACCGGCGGCCCCAACGCCGGGCAGGCCTCGGCCCGCGTCTCCGGCCGTCCCGTCCTGTGCCCGTGATTATGCGCGATCGGCCGCCGAGCCTGCGCCTCTCCCTCGGCTGATGTCTCCGCTGCCCCCCGCCTAGGATAGAGCAGGCTGAGCGCCCGCGCCTCGGGCACAGGGAGATCCACAGTCATGTATTTCCTCAGCGGCTGGCCCAAAAGGCTGCTGTGTCCTCTGGAGTCTCTGGAGCGACCGCTTCACATCCAGACGGATCCCCAGAGAGCTTTCTTCGCAGTTTTATCCCCATCTCAGTTGAGCATCTGGTACTGCAGAGTGAGTATCCATCGGCTTGTCAGCTCTCGGACCCTGCACCCCCAGCTGTTAATTTTTTTGTTGTTCTTCCAGAAACGGTTGGAAAATTTGAAATTAAGTTTATAGGATACTTCATTATTTGTGAATCAGAGGGATTAAGCCACGATGTTTACTGACAGCAATGTAGCGTTAAGAAAATATGCAACATCAATCTACTTGGAGTTAACACCTGTTATGCCTAAAAAATGAGACTTCCAACCAACTTTTTTTTTTGTTTTAACCTAAGTAGCGCTTATACTTAACTTAAGGAGTGTTTGTAGCAAATTTTTTTTGTTTTTTCCAATATGCTTCATATCTTCTGCCTTTTCAGGTTCTGTGTTTTATATAAAAAACATATGAATGTAGGAGATATGGAATAGTTTCTGTAAAGCACAGAACAAACTCACTACTCAGACTGTTATAACACAGAAGTTCACAAACTTTTATGGAAAACTTTAAAAGTTTTGTGGCCCTAACAGAAAACTTATCGTGGCTTTTGCATGGAAGTTGCTGCTGCAGCAACATCCAGTTTGAGACTATGTGAATAATTGACATTACGTGCCTTACTCTTAATTGACATTGTATTAGTGTGAATCTTGCGTGTCTGTCAATGAAACAACTGTGAAATTGACTTTAAATTTTGATGCTGAATCCTTTTAAATACTGCTTAGATTAGACCCTAAATCTGTCTATAAATATCTCCAGCTCCAGGTAATATAGAGTTCATCTCAGATTACCAGGGAAAACCAACAATCCAACTTTAGAAAGCTGATACTGGAAGATGTCAAATAACAGTCGTAGCCTTAAAAATCTCATTTTAAGTTATCCTGAGATTTCATCACATTATGTTTTATTGTGCTCTACATGACTGTTCCTTAGTTCCTTGCTGGGGTGCTGATGCTGTTTTTGGAACCTAGATGGGTATTATGTCCAGCTAGGACATAATCAGCCTGGTAACTATGCTGTGGGAACATCACCATGTGGCCTGTGTTTCCTTAGGTTTGTGGCCCACTTGTATATAAACTGTACACTCTTCTAGCTTTTGCCAGTTCTTGAACCTGTAGCTGTAGTTTGTCAGCAGAGCACAGTTGTTCTTCTTTTCTGGGAAAATATATAAAAAACCCAACAGGCATGTGGAATACTTCTCAAGAGGTGCACTGTTGTCTAGAATGTAGTTTACTTTATGGTCTGTTCCCAAGGACGAGGTTCAATAACTCACATGCTTGGACTTGTTTTGAAATGTTAAACATTGTATAATTGGCTACAGACAGAGGACTAGAAGAATTCACTTGCTGCAGAAGAGTTGAGTAACCTCAGAGGCCGTTTACATTTTTAAAATAGATTTTGATTCAGTTTGTAATGGGTGCTTTTGAGGAAGGTGCTGACTTTATCAGGTTTGACCACTGACTGATCTTAAACTAAAAAAGTGTCTCACTGCCTCTGTGGACAACTGGGTGTTAGCAAAAACCTGTAAGAATAAAGATTTTAGTCAAGGGCATTTTTAAAAAGAATTTTTTCCATTGTTTTCCTGTGTATAGCTTGGGTTTTGAGTGTACCTGTGGGGTTCATTTGTTTGTTTTATTTGGGTTGAATTTTTTTGTAGGTTTTTTTTTATTTTTGAATGTTGAACTTATATAAAATAAAATTACTGCATTCTAGAAAATGCTTTCATTTGTCAAAAGTATCTTCTTTGAAACAAGGATAAGTTCTAGTCAGGTTGAACTAACTCAATTTCTTGAAGTAGAAAAGCCTTCAGGCTAATGTTCTTGTTAAGACTTGTTACTATCTCAGCTATATATGAGAGGTTTCATGTAAAATGAGGTGGTGAGACTGGGAAAGTTCTGTTTTGAGTTTTTCAAAAACAGGGGGCCCTTTGAAATGCTTTCAGGTGTGTGAGCTTACATTCAGTATGTATATTTTTTAAAGTGACATAGTACTGTTTAAAGCTCCATTTCATCGACTATGAACTAAGAACTAGTGGAACGAAGGAAAGTTTATCCCAAAGAATGGATTATTTTCTGTTTTGGAATCAGTCTAGGTATTAAGATTAGAAACTGGGGTAAATAGTGTTGGTAAAAACCAGATGGAGTTCTGTCAGTGTTTTTGAACCAAAAAGTCCTATTTTACTTGTTGGGAGAGACTGGATTGTGTATAGAGAAGATCAGTGACCAGTGGTGAATGTTTTCAATCATGCACCAGTATAGGTGAAAGATAATTGAGCACAGACCCCCCGGGATGTTTACATTTATTTATAAATTATATGCATGTGCTGCTGTACCAGTATGCACATTAGCAAACGTACACAACATAGTCTGGTCTATTCTACTCTGTTTTCAGTTGGAAGGGACCTACAGTGATCACCTAGTCCAACTGCCCGACTAATTCTGGGCTGACCAAAAGTTAAATCATGTTATTAAGGACTGGTAGACTCAGGGCATCGACCACCTCTCCATAACACCTGTTATGGTTTTAAAAGGAAGGAAAAAGGAAAAAAAAAAAAAAGACTGACTTAAAGCCAAAATAAGCACATTTTAAAATTTTTACTTTATTTTAGATATTATTGTTGCTAAAAATGCTTTTTTGCTCCCCAATGGACTATATTAAATGCACCCCTCTTTGGAGTCCTCTGTTTCAACTATTTTTCTTAGATCTGAAGTTTTAGGCCTAGATACCTCAGAAAATTTCTTGACGCTAAGAGCCAATGAAACTATTTTCATGACAAGATTGGAAAGCTTGTCAAACGTTTTCATTCTGGTAATGTTAAGTACTTGGATGCTTGAAATGAGAAATATGAATTAACAAAAGAAACTTTCTGAAATGCTAAAACGAGGTAATTGATGTGTAATAGATTGACTTGGCAGCTAAAGATGAGGTTTCACAAGGCAGCTGTGCAGTCCTAAGTGTCACAATCTTTCCTGCTCACTCGTCTGTTTTATTGGATTTTGTGGTGGACTAGTGATGTCTTTTTACAGGCCTGTTAAACTTAATGAACAAATAGAAGCCTGCTTTTTTTTAGCTCATGAATGGATCAAAGGAGCGTAGTAGATGGCCCGTTGAAAGTGTCACTCCCTTAACAGTTGTGGCTTTAATTTTAAATTGGTTTGGTTATCTCTTGAATTCTAGATATTCACCCGTAGGGATCTAGGATGTTAAGGGAAAATGTCTGCACCTAAGGAAGAAGGTGTTATAGATGAGTGGAGTTTTCTGCCTAACCCTTGAAAAGTGAATTGTGTGCAACAAGAATAGTCCATTGGCTTAGTTGTATGTATAAATATAGTCCAGCATTTCCTTTCTTTAATCTTAACAAACTTGTGACAATGAGAGGAATAAGTACTAGCCTTGAATATTTAATGACAGTCCTGTATGTTGTTGGACTATATGCCATGACTCTGCCAGTCAAAACCAGTTTTGTAAGCTCTTTGAAGCCAAGAGTAGCTTGCCCCAACTACTTATTTGGAGGAGGTTTTCTTGATTACCTATGCTTCTCAACTTATGATTTACGCTTACCCTTGTTTTTTAAAATTGTATTTATTTTTTTTAATGATGATCTGATGTTGAGTCAGATCACCCTAATGAACTAAAATAGGTGTATGGGAAAGCATGCACGTATCCTGGATTGTCAAATGATTTATATTCATTCTAAATGCTAGATAGATCAATATTCAAGCAGCTCTCGTACGGCACTATTATGTGCTTTTCAGTCTCTAGTTGTTGCTGTATTACATGCTTTAAATCCAAGCATGTATGTTAGTTAAATAAGTAGGACAAAACAGGCAGCTGTGCTTCTGTTGTGGAAGTGATCTCTGTTACCTGGAATTTTGCCATGCTGTAAAAGGAGTTACTTGTGACACCAGTACATGTAGTTCATAAGACATATGAATAAATACATTTGCAGTTGTTTTTGTAGTCTTTTTTTGTATTACAGTTGACTATTAAAAGAAATGTTTTCACTGTACTGTCAGGATTATGTTTTAATCTCAGAACTGTAAGCAGAATAATTTACAGAATTATTGTGTATGGCTTTTTCTTAGAT